CGCGGGTTGCCTGATTGCAGGGGAGAACTTCTGACATTGGTCGCATTTTTGGACGTATGCGCGCGCATCCCNTTCTGCCCACTCCCGAAGATGCTCAACCTCTTTACGATGATTCTCCCTTTGGCGATGTTTTGGAGATGCCCAGGGCCAGATGAAAGTTCTTTTTTCTTTTTGATTGTACTTTTTTCTATTGTAGCTTTGGGGACGCAAAGCCCCTCTTTTTGAATGAAAACTTTTTTGTACTTAATCCTTTCTTGCGTACACCTTTGTAGGAATCCTTGAATCGTCCTCAGGGCTTTGCTCATCCAAGAGGCTTGCTCTCGTGGTTGTTTCGGGGACAAGAGTCCTCGAACTCTGTCCCCAGGGCCTTGCCCTTCCAGGAGGCCTGCTCCTGTGTTTGCTTTGGGNCTCGCATATTCCTTTGTGTACCTCATATAGAAGGTCTTCCACCTGGTCTTCTTGGACGCATAACAAGTAAGGTCCTGAGAAAGACCTCCGATACAGCTTCTGATCTGGAGAGACCCAAAATCTCGGGGCTTTGAGTTTTATCTTCCTTGTCTCTTTTGAACACTCCGGAAGGTCTCCTGTTGTTAGGAACTTGAGAAAGGATCAATCCAGCTGGACGACTTATGTGCGTCCTGGACGGCCATTATCTCAGGAGCATGGTCTATGCAGGATGCGGGAAGATATTCTATAGTGATCCTGCGCGACTGAGAGGACTCCACCGCCGAGGCTAGACAAGCCAGGGCGTTGGCATGCATGTTCTTATCTCGGGACACTTGTTTGATCTCAATCCTTCCGAATCTTCGGATTACAGTTGTCACCTGGTGATGATAAGCCTTTATCCTAGGGTTCCTTGTCTCAAACTCTCTGTTAACTTGGTTGACTACCAGCATGGAATCGCAATGCACGATAAAGTCCGTCACTCCAGTTGCCTCAGCTAACCGAAGTCCTGAGATGAGGGCCTCGTATTCAGCTTCGTTATTCGACGCTTTGAATCCCAGCCGAACGGCCTGCTCTGCGACAATTCTATCTGGAGAGATCAACAAGATATCGATCCCGGACCCTTTACTATTTGACGAACCGTCCACACACAAAAGTTATGGCGATCCTTCACAATTTGTTGGAGACGCTATGTCGGGAGGAGGAAGTCTTTCTAGAACGGGATGTTCCCCCGAAAACTCAGCTATNCGTATTCAGCTTCGTTATTCGATGCTTTGAATCTCAGCCGAACGGTCTGCTCTACGACAATCCTATCTGGAGAGATCAGCAAGATACCGATCCCGGACCCTTTACTATTTGATGAACCGTCCACACACAAAAGTTATTTGTTGGAGACGCTATGTCGGGAGGAGGAAGTCTTTCTAGAACGGGATGTTCCCCCGAAAACTCAGCTATAAAGTCCGCCAACACCTGACCCTTTACCGCGGTTCAAGGTTTGAAATGAATGTCGTGTTCCCCCAGCTCNTTTAATCTATACGACCCGACGCCTCCGATAGATATCACTTTGTAAGGCCCTTCCCAGTTAGGTCCCATTTTCCCTTCTGTTGGGTCACGGGTATTGGCCGTTACCCTTCTGAGGNTAGAACGGGATGTTCCCCCGGAAACTCAGCTACGAAGTCCGCCAACACCTGATCCTTTACCGCGGTTCAAGGTTTGAAATGAATGTCGTGTTCCCCCAGCTCCACTGCCCACTTGGAAATCCTTCCGGAGAGTTCAGCTTTCCTCAAAATGGCCTTTAAGGGCTGATCGGTAAGGACGGTAATTGGGTGCGCCTGAAAATAATGCCTCAGTTTTCTTGCAGTGGTGACCAGGGATAAAGCCAATTTCTCTANGCTGTCTCTCTTCTTTCTTCCACTAGATTCAAATCCAGTCCAAGTTGACGGTCATTTCCCCCTGCGTCGAAAGCTTGGATCCTTATGGTCGGGAGCCCTACCTCGAGAGGTATGATTGCTTCNAGTGGTGACCAGGGATAGAGCCAATTTCTCTAGGGGCAGGTATTTTGTCTCTGCGTCCAGGAGCGCCTTATTTATGTAATAAATCAGCTTCTGGCGGTGCTCATGCTCACGAATAAGTACCCCACTTACCGCAAATTCAGACACGACCAAGTACAAGAAGAACATTCCCCCTGGATAGGGACAGATAAGGTCGGGAGAGTCCTTAGGTATTCCTTGATTCCAGCCAGGGCGTCTTCGCACCCCTGGCTCCACATATCCTTCCCAGCACTCTTGATTGCTTCGAAAAAGGGTTTGCATTTGTCTGAGGAGCGTGAGACGAAACGATTAAGTGCTGCCAGTATCCACGTGAGCTTTTGGACTTCTCGGACAGTTTGGGGGCTCCGAATGTCCAGGATTGCTTGAATCTGATCCGGGTTAGCTTCGATTCCTCGTTGGCTGACCAGATATCCGAGAAATTTACCCGATTCCACTCCGAAAACGCNTAGCTTCGATTCCTCGTTGGCTGACCAGATATCCGAGAAATTTACCCGATTTCACTCCGAAAACGCACTTTGCCGCGTTCAGCTTCAGCCCGTACTCCCTGAGGGTGGAGAAGGTATCTGCCAAATCTGCCAGATGATCACAACTTCGTTTGCTCTTCACCAGCATATCATCAATGTAGACCTCCATGGTGTTGCCGATCTGCTTTTTGAACATCCGATTCATCAGTCTTTGGTATGTCGCCCCGGCGTTGTTTAGTCTAAACGGCATCACTTTGTAACAGTAAACTCCCTTTGGAGTGATAAACACTATTTTTTCCTGATCTAGGGGATGAATAGGGATCTGGTGATATCCTGCTCGGGCATCCAAGAAGTCCATGCGTTCATATTCGGCAGTGGCGTCCACTAGCTGGTCCGTCTTTGGTAGTGGGTAGTCATCATTGGGACATGTCTTGTTTAGATCTGTGAAATCTACGCAGACACGCCATTTTCCCCCCTTCTTCTTCGCGCAAACTGTGTTAGACAGCCATTCTGGGAACTGTATCTTTCGAATGACGTTGGCCTTCAGGAGTTTGTCGATTTTTTTGTTGACCGCGCAGGAGTGATGCGGGGCCATGCGTCGTGGCTTCTGTTTGACTGGCTTGTGCGCCGGGTTAACATGCAGTTTGTGCGTGATTATCTCGGGGTCTACCCCCGTCATTTCCATTGCGTTCCAAGCGAACACGTCTGCATTTTCCCTTAGGAACTCAATCATCTCCTCCTGTTCGGCTGCGGGCATCATGGTCCCAACTAAGAAATATATTTCTTCTTCTCCCTCCACCAAGGGCACCTTCCGGAGGTCCTCCACCGACCGCTCAGTTGGGTCTATCTGGGGGTCGTCCATTCCTGGACGCCCGGACTGTGATTGTTATTTCTCCATGATCTCTTCCGGGGCTTGCCCCTTTTCTTGGGTGAATGCCCCGGCTCTAACAGCTGAATAAAAATAATTTTTTGCGGACGCTTGGTCCCCTCGGATCTCCATGATACCTTCTGACGTGACAAATTTCAGTTTCTGGTGGTAAGTGGAGTGCACCGCTCCCAACACATGCAGCCATGTTCGCCCCATGATCACGTTGTAGGGAGAGTCCGTATCAATTACGACAAACTCGGTGTTGATGACGAAGGGACCCGTGACAACTGGCAATGTGATTTTGCCTACGGGCAGGGCGAACGAGCCGTTGAATCCGATGAGGGGTGTCCTGACCTTGGTGAGGTCCTTGAGGCCAAGACCCATTCGTTTTAAAGTCTCGAAATACATCACTTCCGAGAAACTTCCAGAGTCTATCAACACCCTTTTAATGTCGAATTTTCCTATCTTCAGGGTCAAGACAAGGGCGTCGTTATGAGGAGTCACTACGCTTGTCAAGTCCGCGTCGGAGAACGTGATGCTGGGCTCACCAGCCCTGGCCCTTTTACTGGGTGACCCTCCATCATCCTCGGCTACCTTCCTTGTAAAAGCTACCCTATTGAGGTCGGACTCGAGTTCCTTGGACGTGGGGCGATCTAGGGGACATACATGAATGACATCTATGACGTTGTCCGGCTCCTCGGTCGGGGCAAGAGTGTGTCTCTCTTCTGGCCTGAGCTCTATGTATTCTTTCAAGTATCTGTCTCGGACCAATTTTTTCAAGAACGATTTGTATACCCTGCATCTTTCGGTGCGATGTCCGAAATCCTGGTGATAGGAACACCTAACCTTTTGATCACGGGTGGAGGGATCGCTCTGCATCCTGGGCGACCACTTAAAGAACGACTCATGCTTGATTTTATGGAGCAGCTTGAAGATGGGTTCCTTGAACATAGTATGAACCCCCTGGAGGGGGTAGCAATCCCTTTCGGGGAGTATCCTCCCGCTCCCTCTTTTTTCTCTTAGATTGGAGGGTTCGGCCCATACTGTTTCCCATCTCGTCCTCGATCCTTGAGTACTTGTTTATCCGGACCATCAGCTCGTCCATATCTGAGGGAGTCTTCTTAGTCAGGGATCAGTACAGGTCCGTGTCCCTCGCCAAACCGAGCCTAAAAGACGCCGCTGCCATGACTTCTGAGCAGCCTTCTACCTCATTAACCTCTTTCTAGTATCGGATGACATACTGGCGAAGGGTCTCGGATTCCCTACGTCTGAGCGTTAACAATGATCCAACGTCTTTGGGACGCTTACTCCCCGTAATGAATCGAGCTAGGAACTGCCTCGTCAATTCCTTCCACGATCCAATACTTTTAAGGGGAAGCGCCTCGAACCACTTCATCGCAGAGTCCCCTAAGCTCATAGGAAACACTCGGCAGAGGAACCGTTGGTCCGAATGATAGAGGAACATCATCTGCTTGTATTGCCTGAGATGAGCTTCAGGATCGGACCGCCCGTCATAAGTTTTAAACCTCGGCATGACAAACTTTCTTGAAACCTCCATTTCTCCGATCTCCCTGGTAAAGGGTGTTTATATGACCTCGTCTTCGACCTCATCCTGGACAGCCTTACTCTTTCTCCTGGATTCCAACCAGGCTCTNAGAGCCATCAACAGCTCACCATTCGTCCTAAATCCAAGAGAATCTCAATAGTGAATTGCTTGCTCCAAGACTCCACCACACCATACTCCTTCATAATCCACACAGAACATCTTTTACTCTTCAGCCTATTGTCATATTGAAACACTGTTATCATTTCGCCACAAACCGAAATCGATAAATTGAAAGGGTTCGCATCGACCAACAACTTGGGCAAATTCATATCCTTAAAAATCTCATCACCCACATTAAACCCCATTATCAAATTGCAATAACTCTGGTCCCGGTCCTNGCTCTCGGTCGCTTTGGGGCCCTGGAGCTTTCTGCTTTATTGTTTAGATGATTCCTTAGATCCTTCGTTTTCGTCTCCTGGGCGGGGAGCCCACGAGAGAGGAATGAATCTCTCGACCCTTCGTCGGAGGCGGCAAATTCGTTGAGCCGGCTTAGGACGTTTACATTATCCTTTTTCAGCTATCGTAATATGTCGCCAAACTTTTCTTCGATCACCTCCGCTAGTTGACGAGCCAGGGGGGCTGATCCTCCTGACCTGATTCCCATACTGGTTTGAGGGGTAACCCCTCTTGACTGAGTATAGACATTTTTATTCCCATCAGTGTGATCCCTTCCTCCGTGGTGACAGGGAGCTTGTAATTCGAGACTTTTTTGGTGGGGACCTTTCCCTTTTTGTCGAGTGTTCACCATGGTCACTGTTCTTTATAGGGAAAAAACTAGAAAAACTAGTCGTTTCCCACAGACGGTGCCAGATTGTGCGTGCTAGATCTTGCACAATATAAAAACGAGAACATATCTCTCCCTTGGTGAACTCGAGTGAGTCAGTTGAGTGGTCAACCATGTTGCTTGGAACAGCCTGTGAGATCCGGTGGTAACTTGAAACGGCAATGGGAGACCCTCGCGGATCAAAGGAACGATCTAGTAAGGCTGAAGAAAGGTTTCTAGAACAAAGAAGAACAAGTTAGAAGGGCACCGGAGTGTTTTTCGGCGTATCCCCTCCGACAATCAAGTCAATTTTTGAGAGAGAGGAAGAAGAAAACACTGAGTATAATTTGTAGCAAAAGTTTCACATCTTGTTCTTGCCTTTAGTGAGGAGTATTTATATCTGAAATACTCATGATTGTTGTCAGTGTGGTCAGTAGGTGATTATTAGATATAGGCAACGTGCGCACTGATTCCTATGAGGAATGTCTTCTCTCTTAACTGCTCAGGACCCCGAGCAATCAAGTCTGTGTCATCGGCCTGCCGACGGTTCAATGAGCTCCTCTTGGGGAGGATGCAATAAATGCCCAGCCTTAGAGACATTTATTGTCTTTCACTTCTGAGCCTTACTGCATTGAATGCAGTCTCATCAAGGGAATGGTGTAATTAAATGCTTGTTTTCCCAAGTCGCGTGTTAGCAAGGTCATGCGGTCTTTCTGTCTCTGATGTGACACAATATGCCACGCGTCCATTCCTCATTGGCTGTGGCCCCTGCCTTCCTGTGCCTTCTGACACCAATTGTGTAAGATGAGGTCATGATAGCTAACTTAGCCTAGAGCCTAGGCTAGTGACCAGTGCATCAATAACCTCTGCTGGAGCAGAGAACTTCATCATGGATGAGAGAGGGTACATCTCGGTACCGAGGAAGAGGTACATCTCAGGGCCGAGGAAGAGGTACATCTCAGAACCGAGGAAGAGGTACATCTCGAAACCGAGGAATAGGTACATCTTGAATTCGAGAGGGGGGAGGCCTAGCGACCGATGTACCATATCAAACCGAGAGTACGTATCGGTACATAAAAACGTACTGGATGCCACTCGATCCCATGATAAGTACCTCGGGGTAGAGGAGACTTGTGACTCGATGGGTACGTGATCTCAATAATAAGGATCAGTGACACCGAAAACATGTGTCTTCATCTTAAAGTATTCCGGAAATGTCCCATCATTTACCATATAGGGAAATCCATGGATGGCCTTTTAAGTTCTCTCCAATGAAAAGCCCCATAGAAGGAATTTACAATAATAATTTAAGCGATTTTCCACAATGCAAGCAAACTCCTTTTTTTAAGACATCGCCATTCATGATGAACAGTAGCATTTGATAAACATAATAAAAATACAATTAAGCTCTGTACCATGTCATTGAACTTTGCACTCAAAAAAGAAGGCAGAGTAATACCATATGCTAACATTTATCTATTACCCACAGGGGCACTTGATGCTATGCTATAACATTGTTTTCTTACCATCATGTCAAGATACCAAACACTAGAAACGGTAGAAATCCTAATAGTATAGCAGACACCAAAACATCACCAATCAAAAGAGACATAGCAAGGCAATGCTTGGATTTGAGGTTTATAGGTAGCTAAGTCTATACCACGAAGTCTACACGAAGATATATCAGTGATTGAGAAAAACAACCGCAAAAGCATAGTGCATGTATGAATTCCGTTCAAGCCATGGCTGCATCTTCTCCACTGATATTAGGTTCTTCCTCAAACATAGCCTCATCATAAGAATCTATCTGCGCTCCTCTATCCAGAAATACAAGGCTCTCCACATAATTCCCCACATTATAGGAGTCTCTACCACCACAAATCCCTATTTTTTTCACACCCTTGCTCTTGGGATTATACAAAACCAGTGTTCCATCACTTAGAGCCATCAACAGCTCACCATTCGTCCTAAATCCAAGAGAATCTCAATAGTGAATTGCTTGCTCCAAGACTCCACCACACCATACTCCTTCATAATCCACACAGAACATCTTTTACTCTTCAGCCTATTGTCATATTGAAACACTGTTATCATTTCGCCACAAACCGAAATCGATAAATTGAAAGGGTTCGCATCGACCAACAACTTGGGCAAATTCATATCCTTAAAAATCTCATCACCCACATTAAACCCCATTATCAAATTGCAATAACTCTGGTCCCGGTCCTTTCTATGAGAATACCCCAGCCAATGAATCCCCCCATTCACGAAACAGAAGACCAACAATAATCCAACATATTATAGGGTGGAACATTAGAGCTTATGGGTTTCCAAGAACCGGTACTGAGAGAAAATACCTCGACCTCAGGAGGAACGAGGTAACCCTTTTCAGTTCCATACATCAGAGACTCCATACCAGCACTGGGTTCCCATGAACCCGGTTTATGCTGCAAATAAGCGATTCGAACCACCTTGTAGAGAACATATAAGGGCCGTGTGTGTCGAAGCAGACCCGAGGTTTGGGAAGATTAAAGTATTTTCGGATTGAAGGGTTCCATAGGATGAGTGTGTAGGCGTAGCCAAATAAGTCATCGGAGAGACAGAGCAAGCCGTGGCAGGTTGAGACCAGCCTGAAGAAGGTTTTGGGTCTGGGTTTGAATGGGCATTTGAGATTGAGAGGGTTCTCGAGGGTTGTGGAGGAGTCCGACTAGAGAGAGTAGTTTTCTTGGTTGGAAGTGAGAGAGAAATGCTTGATGAGGAGGTTGGGGGATGCGGTGGCGGAGTGAGTGAGGTGGGTTGTAATGAAATCGGAGGATGAGATAAGGGAGCTCCACGATTTAGACACGCACCTGAATCGGAGGAGTGATTTCGGGGGGAGCTTGGGGAGGATTTTAAGCACTTCCCCGGGGAAATAGTCTGACATTTTTGTCTTGTGAGAGACAAAACAGTGGGGGAGAGGGAGGCCGAGGATTTGGACGCACTCCCAGCTTCTCCACCTATTTTGTTCACCCTGGGCAAGAGAAAGGAGACTGGTACCTAATGGGCCCCAGCAATATGCTACTCAACCTCAAAAATATATCTAATTTAATAATGTGGTGAAAATATGGGTCAATAGTATTATNTAGTACCTAATGGGCCCCAGCAATATGCAACTCAGCCTCAAAAATATATCTAATTTAATAATGTGGTGAAAATATGGGTCAATAGTATTATNCTTGTTCTTGCCTTTAGTGAGGAGTATTTATATCTGAAATACTCATGATTGTTGTCAGTGTGGTCAGTAGGTGATTATTAGATATAGGCAACGTGCGCACTGATTCCTATGAGGAATGTCTTCTCTCTTAACTGCTCAGGACCCCGAGCAATCAAGTCTGTGTCATCGNATTGTAATTATAATTCTTAATTTTTTTTATTAAAATTTTATTATTGACGCATCATTAAATTAAATTTTTTAAATTTCAATAACCATTACTCATAAACATGAAAATTATATTTTTCATACTTAAACTATTAAGCTTATTTATGCTTTTCACTAAAAAAATTTTACTTTAGCCTATCAACAAGTTGTATTAATTACACTTTTTTAACGTAATTTCTTTTTCTTTTCTTGGTCATTCCGTAATTTCAAAGAAGTCCTAGTCCTAGTTCTAATATCATTTTATTAATANATAAATTTTTACTTTAGCCTATCAACAAGTTGTATTAATTACACTTTTTTAACGTAATTTCTTTTTCTTGGTCATTCCGTAATTTCAAAGAAGTCCTAGTCCTAGTTCTAATATCATTTTATTAATAGGACACCTAAAAANAAAAAATTTTACTTTAGCCTATCAACAAGTTGTATTAATTACACTTTTTTAACGTAATTTCTTTTTCTTTTCTTGGTCATTCCGTAATTTCAAAGAAGTCCTAGTCCTAGTTCTAATATCATTTTATTAATAGGACACNCTTTCCTGTGCCTTCTGACACCAATTGTGTAAGATGAAGTCATGATAGCTAACTTAGTCTAGCCTAGGCTAGTGACCAGTGCATCAATAACCTCTGCTGGAGCAGAGAACNTTTTATTAATAGGACACCTAAAAAATATTATTTTTGTAGAAAGTAAAATTGTTGCACAAGTTTAACTAAAAATAGTTTACTTTTACTAGTAAAATATCATATAAATATACAATCATTTATATTTTGAGGTACCCATTNGAATGAGAGAGGGTACATATCTTGAATTCGAGAGGGGGGAGGTCTAGCGACCGATGTACCATATCAAACCGAGGGTACGTATCGGTACATAAAAACGTACTGGATGCCACTCGATCCCATGATAAGTACCTCGGAGTAGAGGGGACTTGTGACTCGATGGGTACGTGATCTCGATAATAAGAATCATTGACACCGAGAACACGTGTTTTCATCTTGAAGTATTCCGGAAATGTCCCATCACTAACCATATATGGAAATCCATGGATGGCCTTTTAAGTTCTCTCCAATGAAAAGCCCCATAGAAGGAATTTACAATAATAATTTAAGCGATTTTCCACAATGCAAGCAAACTACTTTTTTTAAGACATCGCCATTCATGATGAACAGTAGCATTTGATAAACATAATAAAAATACAATTAAGCTCTGTACCATGTCATTGAACTTTGCACTCAAAAAAGAAGGCAGAGTAATACCATATGCTAACATTTATCTATTACCCACAGGGGCACTTGATGCTATGCTATAACATTGTTTTCTTACCATCATGTCAAGATACCAAACACTAGAAACGGTAGAAATCCTAATAGTATAGCAGACACCAAAACATCACCAATCAAAAGAGACATAGCAAGGCAATGCTTGGATTTGAGGTTTATAGGTAGCTAAGTCTATACCACGAAGTCTACAGGAAGATATATCAGTGATTGAGAAAAACAACCGCAAAAGCATAGTGCATGTATGAATTCCGTTCAAGCCATGGCTGCATCTTCTCCACTGATATTAGGTTCTTCCTCAAACATAGCCTCATCATAAGAATCTATCTGCGCTCCTCTATCCAGAAATACAAGGCTCTCCACATAATTCCCCACATTATAGGAGTCTCTACCACCACAAATCCCTATTTTTTTCACACCCTTGCTCTTGGGATTATACAAAACCAGTGTTCCATCACTTATAGCCATCAACAGCTCACCATTCGTCCTAAATCCAAGAGAATCTCAATAGTGAATTGCTTGCTCCAAGACTCCACCACACCATACTCCTTCATAATCCACACAGAACATCTTTTACTCTTCAGCCTATTGTCATATTGAAACACTGTTATCATTTCGCCACAAACCGAAATCGATAAATTGAAAGGGTTCGCATCGACCAACAACTTGGGCAAATTCATATCCTTAAAAATCTCATCACCCACATTAAACCCCATTATCAAATTGCAATAACTCTGGTCCCGGTCCTTTCTATGAGAATACCCCAGCCAATGAATCCCCCCATTCACGAAAACAGAAGACCAACAATAATCCAACATATTATAGGGTGGAACATTAGAGCTTATGGGTTTCCAAGAACCGGTACTGAGAGAAAATACCTTGACCTCAGGAGGAACGAGGTAACCCTTTTCAGTTCCATACATCAGAGACTCCATACCAGCACTGGGTTCCCATGAACCCGGTTTATGCTGCAAATAAGCGATTCGAACCACCTTGTAGAGAACATATAAGGGCCGTGTGTGTCGAAGCAGACCCGAGGTTTGGGAAGATTAAAGTATTTTCGGATTGAAGGGTTCCATAGGATGAGTGTGTAGGCGTAGCCAAATAAGTCATCGGAGAGACAGAGCAAGCCGTGGCAGGTTGAGACCAGCCTGAAGAAGGTTTTGGGTCTGGGTTTGAATGGGCATTTGAGATTGAGAGGGTTCTCGAGGGTTGTGGAGGAGTCCGACTAGAGAGAGTAGTTTTCTTGGTTGGAAGTGAGAGAGAAATGCTTGATGAGGAGGTTGGGGGATGCGGTGGCGGAGTGAGTGAGGTGGGTTGTAATGAAATCGGAGGATGAGATAAGGGAGCTCCACGATTTAGACACGCACCTGAATCGGAGGAGTGATTTCGGGGGGAGCTTGGGGAGGATTTTAAGCACTTCCCCGGGGAAATAGTCTGACATTTTTGTCTTGTGAGAGACAAAACAGTGGGGGAGAGGGAGGCCGAGGATTTGGACGCACTCCCAGCTTCTCCACCTATTTTGTTCACCCTGGGCAAGAGAAAGGAGACTGGTACCTAATGGGCCCCAGCAATATGCTACTCAACCTCAAAAATATATCTAATTTAATAATGTGGTGAAAATATGGGTCAATAGTATTATTGTAATTATAATTCTTAATTTTTTTTATTAAAATTTTATTATTGACGCATCATTAAATTAAATTTTTTAAATTTCAATAACCATTACTCATAAACATGAAAATTATATTTTTCATACTTAAACTATTAAGCTTATTTATGCTTTTCACTAAAAAAATTTTACTTTAGCCTATCAACAAGTTGTATTAATTACACTTTTTTAACGTAATTTCTTTTTCTTTTCTTGGTCATTCCGTAATTTCAAAGAAGTCCTAGTCCTAGTTCTAATATCATTTTATTAATAGGACACCTAAAAAATATTATTTTTGTAGAAAGTAAAATTGTTGCACAAGTTTAACTAAAAATAGTTTACTTTTACTAGTAAAATATCATATAAATATACAATCATTTATATTTTGAGGTACCCATTATAATAATTTGTTGGTAAGTTAAAAGCCTATTAAAGGGCGAGAAGACCAGTTTATAAATAGTGGATCATACAAACTAACAAATNTAGTAAAATATCATATAAATATACAATCATTTATATTTTGAGGTACCCATTATAATAATTTGTTGGTAAGTTAAAAGCTATTAAAGGGCGAGAAGACCAGTTTATAAATAGTGGATCATACAAACTAACAAATNATAGCCATCAACAGCTCACCATTCGTCCTAAATCCAAGAGACACCCCTCTACCTAGACTTGGAATCTCAATAGTGAATTGCTTGCTCCAAGACTCCACCACACCATACTCCTTCATAATCCACACAGAACATCTTTTACTCTTCAGCCTATTGTCATATTGAAACACTGTTATCATTTCGCCACAAACCGAAATCGATAAATTGAAAGGGTTCGCATCGACCAACAACTTGGGCAAATTCATATCCTTAAAAATCTCATCACCCACATTAAACCCCATTATCAAATTGCAATAACTCTGGTCCCGGTCCTTTCTATGAGAATACCCCAGCCAATGAATCCCCCCATTCACGAAAACAGAAGACCAACAATAATCCAACATATTATAGGGTGGAACATTAGAGCTTATGGGTTTCCAAGAACCGGTACTGAGAGAAAATACCTTGACCTCAGGAGGAACGAGGTAACCCTTTTCAGTTCCATACATCAGAGACTCCATACCAGCACTGGGTTCCCATGAACCCGGTTTATGCTGCAAATAAGCGATTCGAACCACCTTGTAGAGAACATATAAGGGCCGTGTGTGTCGAAGCAGACCCGAGGTTTGGGAAGATTAAAGTATTTTCGGATTGAAGGGTTCCATAGGATGAGTGTGTAGGCGTAGCCAAATAAGTCATCGGAGAGACAGAGCAAGCCGTGGCAGGTTGAGACCAGCCTGAAGAAGGTTTTGGGTCTGGGTTTGAATGGGCATTTGAGATTGAGAGGGTTCTCGAGGGTTGTGGAGGAGTCCGACTAGAGAGAGTAGTTTTCTTGGTTGGAAGTGAGAGAGAAATGCTTGATGAGGAGGTTGGGGGATGCGGTGGCGGAGTGAGTGAGGTGGGTTGTAATGAAATCGGAGGATGAGATAAGGGAGCTCCACGATTTAGACACGCACCTGAATCGGAGGAGTGATTTCGGGGGGAGCTTGGGGAGGATTTTAAGCACTTCCCCGGGGAAATAGTCTGACATTTTTGTCTTGTGAGAGACAAAACAGTGGGGGAGAGGGAGGCCGAGGATTTGGACGCACTCCCAGCTTCTCCACCTATTTTGTTCACCCTGGGCAAGAGAAAGGAGACTGGTACCTAATGGGCCCCAGCAATATGCTACTCAACCTCAAAAATATATCTAATTTAATAATGTGGTGAAAATATGGGTCAATAGTATTATTGTAATTATAATTCTTAATTTTTTTTATTAAAATTTTATTATTGACGCATCATTAAATTAAATTTTTTAAATTTCAATAACCATTACTCATAAACATGAAAATTATATTTTTCATACTTAAACTATTAAGCTTATTTATGCTTTTCACTAAAAAAATTTTACTTTAGCCTATCAACAAGTTGTATTAATTACACTTTTTTAACGTAATTTCTTTTTCTTTTCTTGGTCATTCCGTAATTTCAAAGAAGTCCTAGTCCTAGTTCTAATATCATTTTATTAATAGGACACCTAAAAAATATTATTTTTGTAGAAAGTAAAATTGTTGCACAAGTTTAACTAAAAATAGTTTACTTTTACTAGTAAAATATCATATAAATATACAATCATTTATATTTTGAGGTACCCATTATAATAATTTGTTGGTAAGTTAAAAGCTATTAAAGGGCGAGAAGACCAGTTTATAAATAGTGGATCATACAAACTAACAAATCCTTCTTATCCTAACCAATCAGCTTCGGCCCCCAACTAACCGAAGCAAGCAATAACCTGGCCTGGATCATCACATACTCGGTTCCTTCTCTGCTCAATTTCAGTACTCTCAACACTTGGATTGATTAGTAAAACTAAGATTCATTATGTCAAAGATTATCGGCATTCTTCAATAAACTTATTGGCTCTTATTCGTTTAACATGTTTGACAAGCATATGTTGCATAATCAGAACTTGAATGACAAACATTGTAGGTCAGAACCCAGATATATACAAACACCAAGAGTGAAACTAAAATAATCTTAAACTAACACAAAAATAAAAACAAGAAACTAGTTTCAGAAGGAAGCATGATAATACTGGACATTTCACTATAAACAATTGTAGACAAGTATACTGTCACGATTCAACATTGCATGCAACACAAGGAAATATATGTATTCCGTGGAGTGAATGATATACGGAATGATAGAATGAGATCTGAAAATACTAATGACCATTTTAAAGTAGACTAAGTAGGGAAAATAGGAGAACGAGAAAAAAGATCTTGACAAAGCTCTGTGCCCATGCCCATAAATATTAGTAATTGAGAGGTATAGACAGAAGGAAACACAGAAAAAGACAGTGGTATACAATATTAGCAGTAAATAATATATAGGTGCAAACCAAGGTCTATGTAGATGATACATAGCGAGAACTAGAAGGGCTTTGTTTTCCCATAACTAAATCCCTGAATGTAGTGCCCCTCAAAATTGAAGACCACTCACCACCCAAAAGAATGAAATTCCAACAACAGATACTTATCCCCACAATCCTTTTTCATCCCACAAAGGTTTAGTTTCCATGTACTCTACAAACTGCTGAGACTTCCAATAGCAACAGCAAGAAACAATTTCATTGTATAGATATGACTGGCTAACTTGGTAACTGAAAGAAATCAAAGAACACAGGTTTCCTAAAGCCAGAATTTCCATCGAGCTTAGAAGTCAGATTATATTCATCATGAAATTACAGCATCGTATTTTTCAGAACTCCTCACCCCCATCACATCACTTCTATAGACATGCCCATATCATAGTGTTGGTTGATCCCCTTATAGACTATCTAGCTCATTTTTCTCATGAATATCAGGTTGTTTTAGCATCTTGTAACTCGTACATCTCAACGTATTCATCTCAAACAAGCTTCCTTGCTTAATATTCGGTAGTTTATCACTGGTTTTAGCTCCATCATTATGAGAGTTTGTATTCAATCAATAAAAAGTTCTCCTTATACTCCAACCTTTCAAATCACATTAACCACCCAACGAAAATCTCAACTTCAGGCAACCAGGTCTACGTTCTTAAGCAAATTCATTCTTGTATGATTTATATAACCCCCTTTCAACCAAATGTACGAATAGACTCATTTGAGGTATATTCTGAACATTGTTTGATGCGTATACAAAAGTGGCTGCGGGATCAAGGCCTGTGAGAGCTTTTGGAAGAAACAAACAAGTCAAGAGGTATATTCAAGGCAAAAGAGACACACAATGTCTTTAGGGTGCAAATCATAATCTTTTGGGCGTTGATTCAACACATTTGCTGTTGCCACCTATTAAAAGCAAGCCAAAAAGAAGGAAGAAAGAGAGAGAGGGAGGAGGGGCCGTTCAAAAAAACAGAAACTTTTTATCAGACCACAGAATGCCCATTGACAACCAAAGCATTACCAAGACCTGAACTACTTCTCGCATTTGCCTTTAAGATATTAAGAATCAGAAATGCAATTGATAATCAATTAAAAACAGGAGAAAATAAGAGCCAAAAAAAGTTGCACAAGTCAGCCACTCAGTCTTTTGACCACTTGACTACATCCAAACTCAAAAACCACCAAGAAACCATAAGACTATCGCCAAGAATGAGCTTGATCATTACTGTTGAGATCATCACTATTGATATTCATATAATATTAAAATTACTTCAGCATTGCATTTGCATGAAGCAGCAGCATACAAATGACCGAACTTGAATCAACGGAATAATTCTCGTCTAGGAATCTTGACAAAGGCCTAATTCTCCTTGAGAGATCAGAGCAGCATATCAACAAAGACAAGAACTATGTGAAATAATTATCAAATAATCAAAATTATTAATCCGGGATAAAGAAATATAGAATCCATGAAGTACTATATACAGGACTTTTATTGCATAAAGAAGCATTAACAAGAGATTTCCACTTGTTCATTCACAAAATCCATGACCAAAAGAAAAGAGTTTATTCACAGAATTTATAATTTCCTATAAGATATCCTCACAATAAGAACAGCAAGGCTGCATAGAAAGAACAATGAGGGTCTCTTTGAACTAATAGGAATTTATAGACGACAGGGACTTTGGGATGGACAAATGGACCACACATTTACATCAATATTAGGGCACAGGAACCATGGACTTCAAGGTGGACTACCAGTTTTCCTTGACAATTTTTGACTTCTCAAGAATGAACTTTCCTTCCTTGTATTTCTGTGTTTCTTCATAAGCTCGTTCATACTTCCAACCCAGCACCTCACGGCAGTCACCGCACTGGACATCAGCAACTGTGTGGAGACCAGTCATGAGATGCCTATCCTCTTTGGGTCCCACAATAAAGTTCATTGCATGGGAGAACAAGAAGGCCCGGCCATTTCGTCCCTAACATCAACATTATAAATAAATTATGTGGAATAATATCTGACAAATGCTTCAACTCAGAATAAAAAATATTATCATCAAACAAATAAATTCAGATCAAACTATATGTTCAATCAAAATTCCATTATCAAACCCCATCATGGAGTCTCATATAAAGCTCATTAGTTGCTCAATTTTGAATGCGAGGCAAGCTAAAGGGCGTATCCTAAACATAGATTACTAAGTCTTCTCTTCAATGGCATAATCAGACTTTTAGCCAACAAGCTGTTTAGACACAGAGAAAACTTAAAACTGTAAACGATAATTTTATATTGAATATTATGTTTTGATGATGCACAAGTTGGTTTGCACACCAACTATCAATTAAGCAGTATAAAATGCAGTAAAGTAGAGGGAGAGAGAAGACCAAACTTATAGTGGTTCAGTCAAGGTGACCTACGGATTGGGCCGTTTAATAGTCATAACGGATTGGGGTGATTTTAATAGTAACTAAATAGCTTGGTGACCTCTCATCTCATCTCCTCTCCTCAATCGACAAGAAAGTTATGGTGCTCTCCAAGGACTTAATAAAAGGATGAAAAAATGTTGACTCTCTCCAGGCCGCAAGGGAGAGACTCCTGGAATGACCTTTACTTTAGGGTGACGAGGAGCAGGCTCTTGGATGACCATTACTCCAAGGTGGTAGAGAAGGCTCTTGGATGACCCTTGTGTGCTCCCTATTGATATAGCTCCTTGAGCTTGATGAGCTTGACCAAGATGACCACATTGGGCTGGACTTGGTGAATCTCTTGGAGTTGGGCCTTTAACTCGAACCGGGCTTATAGCATGAGTTGGGCATTTGGGCTTGACTCATCATTTGCCCTCCAATGCCTTGCGTCTTACGGAACTTGGAAAGGAGCGCATTCAGTTTGAGTGCGAATTTTCGATTGACCGACAGAATTGAAAAAACTTCGAGAAGCCAAAACATGTGCTTCTAAACCTTTTTTGGGCTTTTAACAGTATTAGTCACAGCCAGAGGCCGTGAGTCTTGTAGGGTTCGCTGAGAGCTTCAATTTGATATATTATAGGCCCCATTTGGAGTAACAGACCAAAAGTTACGGTCAAAATAGCGAGCAGGGAACCGGGTGCGCAGTTTTGGACGAACAGCATTTTTTTATTTTTTTTTAAAAAAATTTCGGGAGGCCAAAACACCTGTTTCTGGGCCTTTTTTAGGCTTTTTCTGAAAAGCTCATTGCCAACCAAAGTGAGTTTTGCTCAGCTTCTCGAGAGCTTCGATTTGGTATATAATAAATCCCGTTTTGAGTTTTGGATTAAGAGTTACGGTCAAAATAGTGTGCAACTCCTTTTTAAATCCGGATTTTTAGAAAATCCCTTTGATTAGTGATTTTACTCCCCTTCAGTTGGCTCCTCTTCCCTGTAGGACTCCATTACCTATATAACCCCTTCTTTCACTCCTCCTTTTGCGTTCTTGAAGAGCCCTATGCTTTAAATTGGGTTTTTTGCTTCTCCAATAGGATTTTAAAACCCTAGCTATAAATAGGAAGCTTTTTTCATTCCCCTCATTTCATTCTACGCACTTCATACAATCTTGAGAGAGGAGGAGAGCTTTTTCTTGAAAACCTTGAGAACCCAAACTCCATCCATCCCATAGAAACTTGAGTAAGGAATAGTGTTTTTCTAGAAATCTTCCAAGATCACATAGCTGATACTTTCTTGAGTTGGTCATTTCAAAGTGCCATGGTGATTGAAGGAAAAGATGTTCAGAGATCTTCTGTCGTTGGAGAAGGAGAGACAAGCATTGGAGAGAGAGGCTTTGTTGTTGAGCGAGCAGGAGAAAGGGCTAGGCGTTTTGGGTTCTGATTTGAGCAGCCTGGGCACCGAAGATGTTGAGCTAGACAGCTTGGGCGCACAGCTCGGTGGAGAGGCGAGCAGCCTAGGCGGGTTGGCGACAGTGATGAGCTGGTTCAGTTTGGGCGTGCCTTGGGCACTAGTCCGAGCGAGGAAAGATGAGAAAAATGGATTGATCTGGGCATACAGGCTAATCTGAGCGAGAAGGCAGCCGTTCTAGGCGCCTTGGGCGACCATGGGACTGAACTGGGCGTGCCTGCTGCGCTGGGCTACTTGGGCGAGCAGCCTGCTGGCGTAGAGGCAGTCAATTTTGGAGCCTAGGCTGTAACGACCCCATTCGTCATGTCTCTTTCTATTTGTCGCATTCTCCATTATTTTTCACTCACCCCGGGGCGATTGTCACCCAATAGTTGGAGGATTTTGCTATGCTTTTTGCATTGTGGAGGAAGGTGCACCATAAGGATGCCTCTCCTGTGGAATTTCATGGAGCTTATATTTGTCGCATTCTCCATTATTTTTCACTCACCCCAGGGCGATTGTCACCTAATGGTTAGAGGATTTTGCTGTGCTTTCTTGCATTGTGGAGAAACGTGCACCATGAAGATGCCTCTCTTGTGGAATTTCATGGAGCTTATACCTTGAGCGAGACCCCTGCTCCCAATCGGGGTTGGTATTATTTTACCACGAATGCCAAGCTGATTACCAGAATGCGCTCCAACTGTCATAGTTGAAAATTTCGCTTTATATTTGTCGACTGAGAGCGGACTATAGAGGCTGATAGGGCTTTGGTACCAAGAGGATGGGGTATCCCTAAGAAACTTAGTATATCTTATACTTGCTTTCTCTCCTTTGTTCTCATTTTTTTTTTTACTCAGCATTTCTTTTGCAAATCCCCCTATGCTCTCCGGGGACCAAGAGTGAAAGTTGCAAGCGATGAGAGCTTATCCTGAAAAAGACTTTGGAGTTCTTATGTCCAAAGACAGTGGAGCTAAAAGTGTCCCGGGTGCTCTTACTACCCCGAAGTCCGGCGACTCCTCTTTGAAGAGGAAAAATGAGTTGATTCTTTTGTACCTTCCTTTTTTACTTGGTGTTTTTCATTTAGGTAACACTTTATTTTTCTTGCAACAGTAAATAGGGAGGTAATTGGGGTCCCGCCTCTCAGGTAGGAGTCCTCCTCCTTCCAAGGTGGCAATGGGCAATGTCTCCCAAATAACCTCTCCAATGGTGCCGCCTGAAATGAGCTTTCCTCGATCAACCCCTCTAGTGATACCTCAGGCGCCTTCTCATCAAATGACCCCTCTAGAGGTGCCTTCTCAGTCAGAGACTCCATGAGTTACAACTTCTGCCCTAGAGTCTTGCTTGTTGGCCACACCTTCTGCCCCCGCCTCATCCACTCCTCTTGTGGGGACTTCTATTGGGGCACTTTCTCAGATTAGCTCCATGTTGGGTAACGGGCGGGTCATCAGGGATCAGCTTAGGAGGTTTATGTTCTCCAATGATGTAAATGTGATTATTTCCTTGGGCACCAAGGGAATCCTCAACTCTTTTCTGAAAGACTGGGCTCAGGTAAGGGTTTGTTATCTTCCTTTTCTCCCTTCCTTCCCTAAGTTTCTGACATCCTTTTGCCTTTAATTTTTCTTTAGGCTTCAACTGCATCTATGTGTTTATTTTCAAGGACCCTCCTTTATCACAAGTTGAAACACGATCATGAAATCGTGCAAAATGAACTTCTTGCTGCTCAAGGGAGGATTGTTGAGCTTGAAGTTACTGGCAGGGCTTCTGATGTTGACTTTGTGGCAACCCGTGAGAAGGCGACTGGTCATGAGATTAAGCTTCGACGACCCACGAGAGGGTGGCCAGGCTCAAGGCTGAGCTTGCTGAGTTCCGTGAGAGGGCCACGCTTAGTGAGGCTGAGCTTTCAGCGACCCATGGGAGGGCGGCTAAGCTTGAGGCTGAGCTTGCGGAGGTCTGTGAGAGGGTCACTCTCAGTGAGGCTAAGCTTGCAGAGACCCGCGAGAGGGTCATACTCAAAGAGGCTACCACAAATATTCAATAACTTGATTTATAATAATAAGGTCAATTTTTTATTTGTTACTTATTATTTGCCGGTACAGTTGCTAAATCTGCACAATTCCCCCTTCATGTATGGTTAGCTGATGCCATGGAAGGAGTTCTAAAATAGATATAAATATAGTATACCACCGAATGACTCTATTTCCTTTATGGGGAAGAAAGAAAATTAAGGAACCTGCAGATATTGGCAAAACTACAATTATTGTTAACCAAGGAAAATAATTCGTGGTAAAGACAAGATACACTTGGACCAGAAAAATCAGTGCTCGAAAAAAAAAATGTTATTTTCGAGCACAAATTTTATCGGTAAAAAAAATCAAATGGATTCAAGTAGAATTTGGTAAAGGCTACTTAGGAGAGAGCTTTTCGAGCTGAGGTAGACTTGGAGAATAGCATAGCAGATGCTTTCATTGACGGCTATGAACGGCTATGAAGAGCTCCAGGGAAAGATTTCTGCTGCTTTTTCCGATATTGATGTCTCAGGCTTCTTGCCAGCTGAGGCGCCTAATGATAGTGATGGAGGCTCTGGCAATGCTGAGGGTAATGATGAGGAGGAGGATGACGACTATGAAAGTAGTTAAGAGTGCTAGAGACTTTTTTGATTTTTTTTTTTTTGAAGAGCATTTTGTAGCCATACTTTTGTAAAAGTGATTTTTGCCACTAATGCTACTTTGAATTTGAGAAGTTGAATATGAAAATGTAAAAATCTTTTTGAAGTAAATCTAAAAATTTTATTCATTTTACTGCTTGTATAAAGCAATATCGGGTAATAGCCCCACAAAAGAGTACAAAAAATAAAACCAAGTCTCCAACTTTTCTACTCTTTCAAGGTGTCACTTATAATACCTCTTCAGGTGCTCAGCATTCCATGGATGGGGCAAAACCTCCCCTCAGAACTTTGTATCTTGTAGGTGACTGGCCTCACCACTTCTATTATGAGGTAAGGTCCCTCCTAACTTGGTTCTAACTTTCCTTCTCGTGAATCCTTTGTGGCGAGGATCACTTTCTTGAGGACCCAGTCTCCTGGTTGGAAGGAATAAGACTTCACCCTCGAGTTGTAGTACTTTGTCATGTGCGACACTTGTATTCTGCATTGCGGATCATAACCATCTTCGTTGCCTCCTTTACCAAGGCGAGGTTGGCGTAGAGTCTTTCCTCGTTGGTGACGGGTTGTGATGTTAGATCCTTAGAGAGTCCACCCCGATTTCCACAAGAATGACTGCCTCAGTTCCAAAGGCGAGGGAGAAATGAGTTTCTCCGGTTAGAGCTCTTGGTGTGGTACGGTAGGCCCATAACACTCCTCGGAGCTCGTTAACCCAAAGACCCTTCACTTTTTCGAGCCTTATCTTTAGGTTGCGTAGTATCATTCTCACTGTGACTTCTGTTTATCCGTTTGCCTGCGGATACGCCATGCTGGAATGAGGCTGCCTTATTTGAAGGTCAAAGTAAAAAGAGTTCAGGAGCTTGTTGTCGAACTGCTTGGCGCTGTCGCTGACGATGGCGTGGGGTATCCCAAAGCGACAAACCAGGTTTTTCAAATAAAATATTTCACCTTTGCGTCTGTTATCTTTGCTAAGGGTTCTGTCTCCGCCCATTTAGTGAAATAGTTCACCGCTACCACCACGAACTTGCACTGTCCTTTGTTAAGAGGTAGGGGGCCAAGGATGTCGATGCCCCATTTGGAGAAGGGCCACGGACTTGTAATGATCGTGAGTTCCTATGGCGGTTACCTGGGCACGATGGCGAAGTACTGACACTTGTCACACTTCTTGGTGAATTCCTGGGCGTCCCTCATCATGGTAGGTCAGAAGTAGCCTTGTCTGAGCGTCTTATAGGCAATGGAGCGTCCTCCAAAATGATTCCCACAAACCCCTTCATGGATCTCCTGCATGGCATAGTCAACTTCTTCAGGTGAGAGACATCTCAGTAATGGCAAGGAGTAGCCTCTCTTGTACAGAGCGTCTTATAGGATAGTAAACTTGGAGGCTCTCATCCTGAGCTTCTTGGCTTCTAGAGGGTCCTCTGGCAATGCACCTTCTTGGAGGCATGCCCTTATTGGGATCATCCAATTTGACTCAGCCGACGCACAGTTGACGTTTATGACTTCCACGTCTAACTTGCTTGGCTCGAATTGATGACCGATGAATGTTGGTCCTCTTGGTGGGGCTTCCAAGGAGGAGGCGAGCTTGGCGGATGTATCTGCGGCCATGTTGTCTTCCCTTGGGATGTGACAAATCTGAAAGTATTGGAACTTTGTGATCAAGCTTTTCACCATGCCAAGGTATTCCTATATTCTGGCTCCTTTTGCTTCGAACTCGCCCTTTACTTGATTGACAATTAACTGAGAATCATTATAAGTGATGAGGTGCTGGGCTTCCATTTCAGCTGTAAATCTTAATCCAGAGAAGAGAGTTTCGTACTTTGTCTCATTGTTGGAAACAGTAAAATGGAGTTTCACTGCATACTTGAGAGGAGTACCGTCGGGGTTGATCAAGTTCAGGCCTGCTCCTCCCCTCTCACTGGTCGAGGAGCTATCTACATAGAACTTCCAGAATGGTAGAGAGGAGGGCTTAGAGATTAAAGTGAGAACCTAGGCGCGAGGATAGGGAGCCTGTACGCCAGTGTTGGTGGAGCTTATAATTTATAGTGGCTTAGTATAATAATTAAATAACTAGTCTGACGGTCATAACCAATTGAGACCGTTTAATAGTCATTAACGGATTGGAGTTACTTTAATAGTAATTAAATAGTTTGACGACTTCTCATCTCATCTCCTCTCCTCAACCGACAAAAAAGTTATGGTACTCTTCAAAGGACTTGGTCAAAAGATAAGAGAATGTTGACACTCTCCAGACCGCGAGGGAGAAGCTTCTGGAATGACCCTTACTTCAAGGTGACGAGGAAGAGGCTCTTAGATGACCCTTACTCCAATGTGATAGAGGAGACTCTTGTGTACTCCCTGTTGATGTAATTCCTTGAGCTTGATGAGCTTGACCAGAATAACCACATTGGGCTGGACATGGTGGATCTCTTGGAGTTGGGCCTTTAACTCAAACCGGGCTTATAGCATGAGTTGGGCCTTTAACTCAAACGATCATGTTTCATGTTGTTCTGGTTCCCATAAAAATGATTAAGGGAAGGGGGGAAAAAACTCTGGCACAAGTCAAATAATAGTATTTGGCACATTAAAGTATTGACATCCATTACTCCAAAATCAAAATTTGGTCTTTTTTCCTACATTTTCTCAGCAACCAAACATGGAATCAATCCTCTATGGCCCAGAAATTACCAAAGAACAAGAAGAATATTTCAGTCTGCTGATCGAATTAAGGGTAGATAATTCATCAGGATCACAATCACATTATTTTCCTACTAAAATAACTTCAAATTTTCACCTGAAAAGCTTTAGAAATGATATCGTCATGAAGTGCCACATGGTTTCGACAATTACAGCAACTATACAATCTCGGGCCAACTACCTCCGCCATCGATGATAAAGATGGGACACCAATTCACCAGAAACTGTATAAAATCAAGATCGTTCCAAAAGATAAGAAAGAATAACCCAGTGCAATGCCATTGAAATTTTGCAAGAAGAGCAAAACTAAATCAGAGGAAAAAGAGACTCTTAACCTTTATATGTAGAATCAAGAAAAAGGGCCTATGCTATGCGTTTCGATAATCGTCCTTTGACCAGATATCTGGTATCAAGAAAATAAAACAAGTGAGCTTACTGAGGGTAATAGAAAGATTAAGATTGTAATCAAAGAAAAAGCCAATGATGATGAATGGAGTCAATGATTAGTTAAAAGGACTGCTAAATACAGGGTTAGTGCGATCAATGCCCAACAGCCAACAATGAAAATGGAATTAAAATCAAAGATCGAAGGATGGGAAA